CAAAAAAACTATCCAGTAGTTTTTGTCATGCCCTAGCCTATCTACCATGAAAATATGAGCGAAATCGAATTTTCGACCCTTGCCGAGCTATTTCCCATTTTTATGGACAGGGACTCTTAACATCAATAACTCGTCTGTTGACATACACATACTCATGAACCTAAGGTGGTTTTGATTGGTAAAACGGTTCACTTCAAATAAAAGCTCTCCAGTAACAAAAACACCGCTGGAACAATCATTTAAAAGTAGTATTTAATCAACACATACATGTAACTGTACCGAGTTTAAGCTGAGTTTAAAGACTTGACTGTCTCAAGCTTTAAGCTATTATTCGAAGAGCAGCACGTACCTGTCCAATTGTATTCATGAAAAACGTTTTTTACACTTTCTCGTGCAGATAAATGTAGTAAAGTTGTTGTGTAAAATATGTTAGTGCAATTACCTGAATTCTGCAACATCCACTCGATGCAGTTGTTTTTCAGGATTGTCAGCATAAGTACTCCAAATCTAAAGGCAACCAAAGGGAAAGTCAATATGTTTAAAAGTAAAGTGTAATTCACAACAAGACTGAGTACAACAAAATAAATGTCTAGAAAGACAATAATGAACAGTTTAAAATCAGTTGATTAAAAAAGTACGCGAAAGGAAACTACGACGTTTCGAAGACATCTTGACTTCAGTATCAAGAGAAGAAAATAACGAAAGAGACGAGACCCCTTAATAAAAAGCGACTATATATGAAAAACAAAAATAAAGAAACTATTTACGTTGCAAAAGTAGGGGTAACATTAGAAACAACATTCCAAAAATCAAGGCATCACTTAAAATGTTTTGAAAGGCACAAATTTAAAAAAACACTAAAGGTGCTATTTACGAAAATAAGGCTATACACCATGACTTTCAAGTCATATAATTTTGGTGCCCATGTTTAATACGTAAAATTAAAATAACTTACTGCTGATAACAGGTTTGATTCTAAAGCCTTGAACTCAACTGATGCTTGATTTCCAAAGGCTCGGTGGTAGTCTATTCCTTGTATAGTAATTCCAACTCTCTCCGTTTTGCAATCACTGCCTGTAAAAATGATTTAAGTTCACCAATTTAGGTTCAGGAAAACCTAGGCCAGTGGTTTTCTTTTTTTTTTTTTCGGCACTTGATTTTGTTGCCTAGAATACAGCCTGCCCATATAAAAAACTTAGACCAGACTAGAACTCCGCCCCACAGTGTGGGGGGTCTATGGTGATGCAATCAAGGACCTGTAATGGGTCTTATGAATGATTAAGTCACACGCTCAAAATTACTTACGTACTGACCTACCTACCTACCTACCTACCTACCTACCTACCTACCTGTATGAACTGAAAAGTGTCAACTGTCAGCTGAGTTACCTGTGAGTGTCTGAAAGATATTCTGTTACCGTCTGAAGTTTATACTGAAGAATTATTGTTGGTTATACTCAGTCTGTTAGTCCTAGACAAATTTAATAACAATACTTTCCAAAGAACTAAAAAAAGTAACTCAAAATAGTTTTCTTTGAAACTTCACGTGAATGCGTGTACATGATTTTATTTCTATGTATGCCTCAAGTACAGAATGTTTAGAATACTTACATTTTATGTTAACTATACCAATGGCAGTAGCATTATCGCCAAAACCATTACTCGCTGTACATATGTATGATCCTGCATCCTCCCTCTGTACAACAACCAGACGAAGCAAGTAACCAGAGGCATTGAACTGGCTTGCTGGGACGCCAGCTTTTGTCCAGGTGATGTTTGGATGTGGATCACCAGATGCATTGCATATCAGTGTATGGTTCTGTACAGACCTTGAACTAAGACTAAGTTGAACCTCACGAGTTGGGGCAACAGTTATTTTTGGAGGCACTAGAGAAAAGCACATACATGCATGTTAGAATGCAACAGCAACCCATCGTGTTTCTATTTAATAATTAGAATATAAGCTCGAGATTTCTATCGCGTGGTAGTTGAGGAGTGAGCAACAAAGTCAACGCATAGAAGTCAAGAGCGAATAATCTATATGTTTTAATATAAATCTACTCGTCTACTACAACAAATCTAAATCTACTGAAAGATGGGTAATGATCTAAATAGATCACGCAACGTGAGGATACTGATAATTGCATCACATTGTGTTGGTTTTTGTGTGAGCGCCGTTGCGATTCATTCAAGATATAAGCCGATTTGACGAGTTAATGAGATTTAATTAAGACTTAATGAGCAGAGTTTTCTGATGTAACATCACAATCAAAGATATACTGATGTAAACATGTCATTTGGAAGCCGCGTTTCTTAATCTAGAATGACAATGACCAGAAAGTTATGAAAAGTTAAGCAAAGGCTTGTTCTCAGTTGTTTTGACAGGAAAGCGGCTGGTAGTAACACTAAACACTTAAAATTTTATAGTATTTTTTGTCTTCGCTGGAATCACCTCGACTAGTGAACTATGAAAATAATTTTCACATACACTTCGAAAACGCAAAGAAGTGGCGGAGATTTTTTAACAACTGCTAGGCTATTCACTATTATCAGCAGAATAGGCAATCATTATAGCGTAGCCAATAAGAGAACAGCCTTCATGGCAGAACACTAGTAGATTTATATTAGATAGAAATGTAAAAAATGTTCACACAATTTCTTTCCTTATTAACATATGACTGAGAAAATTACTTTAGAAAGATTGGCTGAGAGCAGGTGAATTGATCGCTAATTTTTAATTTCCACTACGGTGCTACTACAAGTTAAGGCAGGGTCGTTGGTATTCTTCTCAGTCACATAGTAATCAAACGTTTGTATGAAACCTTGCAATCCTATCCCTAATATTTTTGTTAAATTCCTTCACAGTGCACCCACCCAGAGGCTCTGGCAGTTTTGAGTTAGTCTTAGAGAATTCTCAAATATCACTCAAGGAATATTTTCTTGTTTTGCACTCACATTCATATGATTACCTACATGTACAGGTGCAGGTATATTTTTTAGGTGTCGGTCTTCACCTTCTGAACAATGTTGTGTCGATTTTTGGACATCATTGCAAATTGTCAGCTAAATTTTCATTCACTTGTTTTTGTTACAAGCCTTCATATGATTACCTGCGTGTACAGGTGCATATATATTTTTAAGGTNAATAGGCAGTCATTATAGCGTAGCCAATAAGAGAACAGCCTTCATGGCAGAACACTAGTAGATTTATATTAGATAGAAATGTAAAAAATGTTCACACAATTTCTTTCCTTATTAGCATATGATTGAGAAAATTACTTAATAAAGGTTGGCTGAGAGCACGTGAATTGATCGCTAATTTTTAATTTGCACCACGGTGCTACTACAAATTAAGGCAGGTATGTTGTTGTTCTTCTCACTCATATAGTAATCAAGCGTTTTTATGAAACCATGCAATCCTACCCCTAATATTTTTGTTAAATTTTTTTCACAGTGCACCCACCCGGAGGCTCTGGCAGTTTTGAGTTAGTCTTAAAGAATTCTAAAATATCACTCAACGAATAGTTTCTTATTTTGCACTCACATTCATATGATTACCTACAAGTACAGGTGCAGGTATATTTTTTAGGTGTCGGTCTTTACCTTCTGAACAATGTTGCGTCGATTTTTGGACATCATTGCAAATTGTTAGCTAAATTTTCATTCACTTGTTTTCGTTACAAGCCTTCATATGATTACCTGCGTGTACAGGTGCATATATATTTTTAAGGTTTCTGTCTTCACATTCTGAACAATGTTGTGTTGATGTTTGGATATTTTTGCAAATTCTAAGCTAAATTTACAGTTGTTTTTGTTATAAGCCTTTTTAGTTCAATGTTTCATATCAAACTCTGTGTATTAACTGAAAAGTGTTTTGCGGCCTGTCGATTTCTCATCTATGTCACTGATTATTCATCGATGCATTGATTACTCATTGACTAACTACTGATCACCAATTGATTACTCGCTGACTACACATATATATTATTATGCTGCATATCTATTACTACATTCCGCTAATTTTTTTTTTTTTATTTCAACTGATTTTCCTGTTACAAATCTTACGGGACCGTTGCATTAAAATCTATATATGTCCTTGCACCTAAATATCTTTGTGATCTAGTGCATATCAAGGAAAAATCCCGCTACAATACGCTATCAAAAGACGGTATAATACGAAAAAGTTTCTAGGAGATTGGGCATTTGTGGTACCAACGCCGAGGACATGTTTTAAGCAGCTGCTAAAGACATATTATTCTAAGTTCGCTTTCTATTAATGTTAGATACCTTTTTATTGAATTCCATT